CTCAGGCCAAAGACGTTGGCTCAAGCCAAACCCGCCGGCTCAAGTGTCCCCCCGTGGCTCCTCCCGATTTGTGCCGCGGCGGCGTCTGGTTGCGCATGGCGGGAGTCACGGCCGCCTCAGGCGGAGCTGTCCGTATCAGTGGCGGCGACCGTTTGCGAGCCGCATTGAATCTCAAAAGGAATGCTCCCAGATATGCTTCTACACATCGCTGTTAGGTTGCTTTGCCGGGATAATTTTGGCCTTTTCGGGCCTTCCTGGAGGCCCTCTTGGAGGCCTCTTGGGCCGTCCTGGGCCATCTTAGTGCCATCTTCGGCCGTCTTGGTGGGTCCCTGGCCCGTCCAACGCCGCCGGAAGCCGTTTGGGGATCCTCTCTGAGCCGACTTGGGGCCCTCTTGGGGTGCTCCAGGGCCGTCTTAGAGGCCATCTTGGGTGTCTTGGAGGCCTCTTGGGTTGTCTTGGGGGCCTCTTGGGGCCGTATTGGGGTCCTCTTGGGCCGTTCTGGGGCCATCTTGGAGGCATCTTGGGCGATCTTTGGGGGATCGTGGGCCGTATCGGGCCGTCGGAAGGCCGAAAAGAAGCGAATGTCAAAATCCTTTAACAACCCTGCGGGAAATCAGTGTTTCTGGCCTTTTCTGACCTCCTCTTGGAGGCCTCTTGGACCGTCTTGGGCCAGCTTCGAGCCAACTTCGGCCATCTTTGTGGGCTCCTGGCCCGTCTGGCGCCGTCGGAAGCCGTTTGGGGGGCCTTTCTGGGCCGACTTGGGGCCCTCTTGGGGTGCTCCAGGGCCGTCTTAGAGGCCATCTTGGGCGTATTGGAGGCCTCTTGGGTTGTCTTGGGGGCCTCTTGGGGCCGTCTTGGGGGCCTCTTGGGCAGTCCTGAGGCCATCTTGGAGGCCTCGTGGGCGCTGTGGGGGCGATCTTGGGGGCCTCTTCGGCCGTCTTGAGTCGTCGGAAAGCCGAGAAGAAGCGAATACCAAAATCCTTCAAAAACCCAAGGACGATTAATGATTTCGGCCTCTTCGGGCCCTTCTGCAGGACCTATCGGAGGTCTCTTGGGCCGTCTTGGAGGCCTCTGGGGGGCCTCTTGGGCCGTCTTGGGCTGTCTTGGACTCTCTTGGGCCGTCTTGGAGGCCGTTTTGGACCATTTTGGGCGGGGTGGGAGGCCCTCGGAGGCCATCTTTGAAGCCATCTTGGGCCAACTTGGCCATCATGGAGGCCATCTTGAGCCGTCTTGGAGGAACAATTGTGCAATTGAGCTCCTTTCTGGGTGGCCAGCTGGACGGGCCGAAGCCGTAGGGGGAGTTCTTTTGGAAAAAGAACCAAAACCAACGACGATAGGATTTGGCACGCCAGGCACCCCTCTTGCAAGCAACAGGTGGCGGTGGATCCACTGGCCTTCTGCCCATCCCGCCACCGCCTCTTGGATGCCCGTTGGGATCTCTTGGGAGGCCTCTCGGAAGCATCTTGAAGGCGAGTCTGGGGAGGCTTGGCGCCTCTCGGGGGCCTACTTTGGACCACTTTGGGGCCTCTTGGGGACCTGAAGGGGCTTCTTGGGGGCCTCTTGGGGGCCTGCCGGCAGTCTCGGGGGTCATCTTGCGGCGGAGGGCTCGAAATATCAGTTCGTGTTGCCCCTCTTGGGCCCCTCTTGTGCCACCTTGGGGGCCTCTTGGGCCGTCTTGCTGTTCTTTTGGGCCCCTCTCGGGGCGACCTTTGGATCGTTTTGGGCTATCTTGGTGCGTCGAATGTTTAAATTTTCAAAAATTATAGAACAATCGTGTCTCTTGGGCCTTGTTGTTTGCGCTGTCTCGCGGCATCTTGGGCACTTTGGGCCGCTCTTGGGTCGTCTCGGGGCAGTTATGGACTGTCTGGGGGACCTCCTGCGGCCCTCTTGAGGGTTCTTGGGGTAGTTTAGGGTTGGCTCAGCGTTCAGAGAGCTCACGCGGCACGCCCCGGGAATTCCCATTGCTGCGCCCACGAATTCCCAAGAGCGCCCAGGAAATTGGGGGCCGGAGCTATGGAGACCCTTGAAGTGACTCCAGTGAACACAGACATGACAGCTGACTGATGAGCCTTGCGGGCGCTCCGCGACGTGCTGAAGGCACGGAGGCGGATTCCGACCATCCAATGTGCTCGCACGGTGTCGTTCAGCATTCTGGCGCGACCGATCCAGTTCGATTCCAAATCCGTACCGATGCGTCCCAAATCAATACACGTTCCGATCCGATTCGATTTTCCGTTGCGGTGTCGAATGGTATTTCTTTCCCTCGATCCTCGAAGGAGCCTTTGCATTGCCGCGATCATCTTCGCAGTCTAAACGCTTAGCGGTAGAGGTAGTTTGCACGCTGACAACTCTCGGCACGTGGCCTTCCTTCGCACATCACAGAAGCGCACATCGAGCGACCCTGCGATGCAGACAAGCAATCATTTCGCGCACAGTGAGCCACAAGGCACGTACAAAACTATATGGTATTCTGCGTTTATCGCCAGGGGGGCAGCATTCACAGCCAGGGCGGTGTACAAGGCCCGCGTGGCTGTAGTTGCTTCGCCCACCCTGCATGAGTATGGAATGGCCGCGCACTATCCGTTTCGGTAGTTTGCGACCAATACTCAACATCTCTCTTGCGGCAGACGCTTGCTCACCAAATCCATAAAATCAGTCGTGCGTATAGCAGCAAACGATTTGTGCAATACCAGAGAAGGGTACGAGGTCAGAGCCAGCTTAGCTCCGGCCCCAAGGGCGCACCAAGTTGCCAGCTGCTTTTCGGCATCTTGTGATCGCCATTCCGAATAACCGATCTTGTCCTTGTCCCACCGCAGCGCCATCTCATAGCAGTATTGTTGTTCTGTAATACGCTGGCGCAACCACCTGAGAATGAATCACGCAGGGAAGGGAGATAGGGGCACAGATGAGTCTGATCTCAGCAGGGCGTGGCAGCATACCTCATTACAAGGGGCGACGCTGCAGTCCCCCGTTTTGCACAATGCAAAGTCGCACGCGTCACCAGGATTCGTGTTTCGGCAGTGCGAAAGTGTGTCTGCTTTTTCTTCATCCTCATTCACTGCACCCTCCCTCCTTCCTTTCTCCGCCTTGCCTGTGCCCTAACTCATCGATCCCCCCTTCATTCCCACCACTTCTCCATGTTCTCCAGTCCATTCTCAAGATCGCCTCCTCTCTCCTCCTTCCTTCCCCTCTCTGCATCCAATGAGCCCAGCGCGACCACAATTAGCGGCCTTCTTTCTTCCTAGGCAGTTCAACCCAGTTCTACCCATGCAAAACATTGCTTGGCATTACTTGACATTGCTTGGAATCGATACTTGGCGTTGCCTGGAGTTGCTTGGCATTGCTTTGTATTGCTCATAGTTGGCTTTGCATTGGATTGTTTGGCGTTGCTCGGCCTTGCTTGGCCTTGCTTGCCAATGCGTCATATTTAGCATTGCTTGGCATTGCTCAGCGTTGCTTTGTACTGGTTTGCATGGCTTCGCGTTGTCTGACATCTCTTGATGTTGCTTGGCATTAGTTAGCGTTGCTTGGCATTGCTTGGCATCGTTTGGTATTGCTAGGCCTTGCTTGGCATTTGCTTGGCATTGGTAGGCATTTCTTGGCATTGCCCCGCACTGCGTTGTATTGCGTGGCATTACAACAACTGGGAAACCCAAGGAACACGACCTGTGAAACCGAGGAGCAAGACCAGGGAACCCGAGACAGGAAGGCATTGAATCAGATCGGGAATTGAGCCACTAAAAACCAGTAGAGAATCAAAGCATGATGGGCTGACACCAGCTGGTGCCCTCCCTTCCTAAGCAAGTCCTCGGCGAGGGTCGATGCGCTCCTCCGCCCCGCTGCTGTTCAGGAATGAGGGTATGCTGTCATCCCCCTCCTCCCCCTGCCCCCCCTCTCGTCCTCCTCCTTCTCCTCCTCCTCCTCCTCCTCCTCCTTCTCCTCTCATTGCTCCTCGCTCGCTCGCTCGCTCGCAGCCCAAGGACTATCGATATCGTCGCAGCCCACTCCCATTAAAATGAAGCAAATCTTCACGCTTCGTGTGGAGGACGAGCACGCGAACGAGGAGGAGGAGGAGGACGAGGAGAACGAGGAGGAAGAGGACTTGTAGGAGAATGAGGAAAACGATGAGGAGGAACACAACGAAGATAACGAGAACAAGGAGGAGGACAATAAGGAGGAGGAAAAAGATGATGATGATGATGATGATGATGATGATGATGATGATGATGATGATGATGATGATGATGATGATGATGATGATGGTGATGATGGTGATGATGGTGATGATGATGGTGATGATGGTGATGATGGTGGTGGTGATGGTGATGGTGATGGTGATGGTGATGGTGATGGTGATGACGATGACGATGACGATGACGATGACGATGACGATGATGGTGATGGTCATGGTGATGGTGATGGTGATGGTGATGGTGGTGATGATGATGATGATGATGATGATGATGATGATGATGATGATGATGATGATGGTACTAATGATGGTACTAATGATGATAATGACGAAGATGAGGAGGAGGAGGACGACGAGGACGAGGACAAGGGCTACGGCAACCAGCTTGGGGTCTTCTTGAGATCAAATGAAGCTTTTTTTGTGTCCTCTTGGGGCCGTCTTGGGAGCCCTGGACAGCCTCTTGGGGTTATCTTGGAGGCCATCGATCAAAGGAGGGGGGTGGCCGATTTCCGCTCTCCCTCTGGGGCCCTAAAGTCGCCTCTTGACGCTGGGGGCGCTCTTGGGCCGATGTCGGGCGCTCTTGGGCTCGTCTTGGGGCCCTCTTGTACCATGCTGGGGCCACCTTGAGGCTCCAAGGACGTATCGGAAGCGAAAAGGCGAGAAGGCACAAATCGTTGATTGTCTCAAGGTGTTTGAAGGATTTTGGCCTCTTCAGGGGGGTCCTGAGCGGGCTCTGAGAGCACTTGGAGCCGTCTTGCGGTCCTCTGGGGGGCCTTTTGGAGGCATTTCGGAAAATATCTTGAACCATCTTTGCCTACTTTGAGCATCTTTGAGCCATCTTGGAGGCCATCGTGGAGCACCGGACGCCCACTTGGAACCATCTTATGCGATCCTGGACGCGCTAATCCCTTGCGAACCCTCCCCGAAAAAAACCTCGGAGGGGAGGGGGAGGGTACCCCGAAGGGAAGAGGGGCTTGGAAGAGGAAATAAAGAACTTGTTAGACCACCTACGCCCAGAGGGCCGGTGAGATTCGGCGCACATCGATGCACAACGAGGAAGCCGGGGGAGGGGGGGGCAGTCTGGCGCAGGGGGGCAAGGGCTTGCGTTCCTGGAGGCGCAGTCAAGGGGTGGTGGCCAGCATAGTCCGAGCCCATAGCCCTCAACACGTACGGGTCGACGGGCACGTGGACCGCCCGAAGAGTGGTATGGGGGCACAAGATCACCACTCCATTCACCGGCCAGCTCAGGGTCCTTATCCCCAATATCCAGCTGCCTGTGGCAAGTCCCTCCACCGTGCCAGCCCAGCATTCTGGGTGGCGATTGTTCGAGGGGGCACGGGAGGCCGTCACGTGTGACACTTCGTGCCTCCAGGTTTGGGAGAGCCGTGATGATGTCGATGATGATTATGATGATGATGATGATGATGATGATGATGTTGATGTTGATGTTGATGTTGATGTTTTTGTTGATGTTGATGTTGATGTTGATGTTGATGTTGATGATGGTGATGATGATGGTGATTATGACCATGACGTTGATGATGATGTTGATGATGGTGATGATGATGATGATGGTGATGATGGTGGTGATCGTAGTGGTGATGATGTGCTGGTGTTGATGATGATGATGGTGGTGGTGGTGGTGGTGATTGTGAAGCTGATGATGATGATGGTGACGATGATGATGATGATGATGATGATGATGATGATGATGATGATGATGATGGTCGGGGTGGTCATGATGATGATGATGATGATGATGATGATGATGATGATGATGATGATGATGATGATGGTGGTGATGATGATGATGGTGGTGGTGGTGATGATGATGGTGATGATGATCATGCTGATTATGATGATCATGATCATGATCATGATGATGATGATCATGATGATGATGACGATGATGATGATGATGATGATGATGATGATGATGATGATGATGATGATGCTAATGCTGGTGCTGGTGCTGGTGATGGTGATGGTGATGGTGGTGGTGGTGATGATGAGGATGCTACTGCTGCTGCTGCTGCTGCTGCTGATATTGATCTTGACGATGGTGGTGATGATGACGATGAGGAGGAGGAGGAGGAGAAGGAGGAGGAGGAGGAGGAGAGGGAGGAGGAGGAGGAGGACGATAAAGAGGAGGAGGCGTAGGATGGCCGTCGCGCGTGACACCTTTCGCCTTCACTATTTGAGGAGCCCTCATGGAACTTGTCTGTGCCGTCCTGTGGCTGCATTTGTCTCCTGTGACGCAGTCTTGGGGGTTCCTTGGAGCCCCCTTGGGCTGCCTTGGGGCCCGCTTAGGGAGTATTGGGGCTCGCTTGAGCCGTCTTGGGGCCCTGTTGGCAGCATGGTGGGTGCCTGGGGGCCGTCTTGGCGTCGTCCTGGGCAGTCGACGGGCTTTCTGATGCCGTCTTGGGTCCCACGGGAGGCCCTCTCGGGCCGCCTTGGAGCCGTCTTGGATACCTCTTGGGCCCTCGTCGGGACCTCTTGGGCCATCGTTGGACCCTATCGGGGCCTCTTGGGCCCGTTTCACCGTCTCATGGCCATCGTGGAGGCTTATTGGGCCGTCTTGAGCTGACGGAAGCCCGAGAAGGCGAGCATGCGAACATCATTCAAAAACCCATCGAAAATCAATGATTTGGGCTTCCCCGGGCCCTGTTGAAGGTCCTCTTGGGCCCTCTTGCAGGCATCTTTGGCAGTCTTGAGGCCATATTCGGCCGCCCTGGGGCCATCTTGGCCAGTCTTCGAGGCATATTGGGCCATCTTGGTTGCCTGCCTGTGGGTTTGCACCGGTCCTCCTCCTCTTCCTCCTCCTCCTCCTCCTCCTTCTCCTCCTCCTCCTCCTCCTCCTCCCCCTCACACTAATCGGGTGTGCACCGCTTCTTCTCTGGCTCCGCATCTCCTCGGCGCTCGGACGGCCCCCTTGCCGCACCTGGCAAGGAACGGCGGCGTGCGTCGGCCCCTGGCTGCGAGACTACGCGGTCGAGTCAGCCGGCGAGTACCGCGGCAGAGTTCAGGCCTGCGCTGTTCACCAGGCAGGATCAGGACACGGGTCAGAGGAGGAGAAGGTACCAATACCGCTGCCCTTCCCTCGTCGCAGCGGCTGGATTCGCCTCCAATCTGGTCAGAACGCACCCCTGGAGAGGTCCTGGGAGCAGCGCGGCGCGATACCGTTTTGCCCCCCCCCCCCCCCCAACGTGGAGGAGAGGGCAGGAGTTTTGGGGAGGGGGAGGAGAAGCGGGAGGAGCAGCGCGCGGAGGAGGAGAAGCAAGCACAGACAGGCCAAGGGTTCAGTGTGTGCTTCGGTTCCGTCCGCCTTTCGGTAGATTGTGTCACGAGTTTGCGATGCGTGCCCGCTGTCAGGTTGGCGCGGCCCCTCAGGAAACATGGCGAAACATGATGATCGTCTTCTATGCGCACCAGCGCCCCTCCACCAGCACAAGCACCGCGGATCGCATGCCAAGGACATGAGTTCTTTCCCTTGGTGCTAGGACGACGGTGTTCGATGTAATTGTTGACGATTCGCAATCCGCACCAGCCCATTCAGAAACGATGCCTCGGCCAGTTGCCTTGATCAAGGAAATGTGGGAACATACAGAGGAACAAAGATGGGATGAAGCCGTCAAACCGAAGCTCGGGATCAGCTTGAGCAGACCCTAGAGCCAACCATGAGGGCCGTCGAAGATAGTTCGATATGGGAGTCTTTAGGACTCCCAGATCAGAAGATCCCTGAGGGCACTTATGGTTGACTTCAAGTTGAAGACTGTGCAGGGTCATCGTTTGGCGTCGCTCGGGCAACTTAACAAGCCTTCAGCTTTCTTGGGCCCATCTTCGAAGCCTTGGGGGGGGTCCTTTGGGACTATCAGGGAGCACATCGATCAAACAAGGAGCCCAAACGACTAATCGATTGGGGACCTCAGTCGATGTATGAGCCATCGTGAGGCTTCAGAAGCTCATCGGAAATGAAACGGCAAGAAGGCAACAACCGTTGAAACATATACTAGTAGGTATTCGAAGGAGTTTGGGCCATGTTGCGCGGTCCTGGAGGCCATACTAGGACATCAGGGCCATATTCGAGCCATCTTGATCCATATGTTTCCCAAGGAAGCCCCATGAGTGGCCAACGTTATTAAAACATCTTTGGTTTTCGAACATGCTGTCTATGAATGGGGGGAAAGATGAGAGCTCGAAGCCCCGAGCATCTCTTGAGGCCCTCTTGGAGCCCTTCGGGGCCTGGCGCTCTTTTGGGCGATCTAGGAGTCACCTGAAGGCCTCAGAAGCTTATCTGAATCGTAAAGGCGAGGAGGCACAACGCGCAGGAACGCGTTACCTTGTTTAAGAAGATGTAAGCCCGTCGGGGGTGTCCTTGGGTGGCTCAGTAGCCACTTGGAGCCGTCTTGGGGTAGTCTTGGTGGCTCTTCGAGGCATGGTAGAAGCCATCTTGGAGGCCATCTTGATCCATATGATGCCATCTTGTAGCCATCGTCTTAGGGACATCTTGGACGCTCTGAGTCCTTGGCTCCGCCGTCCAGACCATGGGTGAGGGGTACGGGAGTATGCCGGAACACAGTTCTTGAAAGAGGTAGGAGCAGGATGATCAAAACCGCCTACGCCTGGAGGGCCCGTCTCGGGGCCCTTTCCGACCGTCTCGAGGGCCTCGTCGTGCCCTCTTGGCCCGTCCTGAGGCCCTCATGGACCCGAGACGGGCACGCGAGGAGATGCCAGGAACCCCGGGGGGCACGCGCCAAGCACCGGGAGATTTGGCAATCTCGGGTCCAGGCCCTTCAAAGGCCTTGCAGGAGTGAGGACTGAGGCTCGCGGGACTGAGGCAGAGATCCTGAGGACAGGCCCACTCCGTGCCCAAGGGCACGGTGGCGAATCAGACTCACATTGGAATCGTCAGGGACCCTACAGGGCTTCGAGAATTCGAGAAAAACGAAGGCACGCCGAGAACACCCACAGCGAGAAAAAGACCCAAAACGAGGAACTCCCAAACTGACGAACAAGGGTAAGGAATCCGATTGGAATTCGATGCGAATCGTACCAGAATTCTAATGGAATCGCTGGGGGTCCTACAGGGCTTCGAGTTAGGGAAACGAAGGCACGCCGAGGAGAAGCACAAACCGAAGGACCACCTACACCGAGGAGAAGCCCAAACCTAGGAACAACAACAACAAACCGAGGAAAACATCTAAACCGATGCACACCCAAGTTAAAGAGCAAACGCAAGGAATCCGATTAGAGTTCTATTCGGATCCTATTCGAATCATCTAGGAATCTTTCAGAATCAGACCGTGCTTTGAGAATTCGCCAAAACAAAGGCACGCCGAGGACAATGCCAAACCAAGGAACAACACTCAAACCGAGGAAACACATACCGAAGAAAAACACGCTGAGGAACAATAATTCCGAATGACACAAACACACCGAGGACAACATCCAAACCGAGGAACAACCCACAACGAGAAAAACCCGAACTGAAGGACAAGTCTGAAGAATCCAATTGGGATCATATTGGGATCCGATTGGAATCACATAGGAACCCGATTGGAGACCTCGAAATCTACAGGGTCTTGAGGATGCTTGAGGCGCGTGCGAGCTTTAGTCTGACCTTGGTCCTCCCACCCTCCTCCCTCCCCTTTTTTCCTTTCGCCCTTCGTGCTTTTCCTCCTCTCTCTCCCCTTCCGTTTTCCTTCTCTCGCTAACAGGGGGTGCTATGCAGGAGGAGCACGTCTAGCACCAAAGAGTTTGTTCACATCGTCTTGGGAAAGGGACTTGGTTAGTAGAGGGTGCGCTGCATATTGTAGCTGGGACACGTTTCTTCAATTTGCCATGATGATGTTATCTCTTATCCTTCTACATCTTCCTAACATGACACGGTGACTGCGTCATTCGGCGGAGTAGTTTCCGATCCCCTTCATGCTTATAATTATGTTGCCCCCAAACCGAATTGGAAATTACTCCGTCCCAAACCCTATGAGTTATCGAGCGGGGTGCGCCCACGCGCGGAGTAGTTGGAGCATTTCTATTTCGAACTCTTCCGCGCTGATGCGCTGTTGGCGAAAGCAGATTGAAAGACATGTTCGTCACGGTGATGTAGGTGGCCTGCGCAGGAGAAGGGGCACGCCTAGCACCAATGTGTTTTATTCATCAGCTTGGGGAGGGGTTTTGTCTAACAGAGAGACTGTTTCTGGGCAAGTCTAGCACGAAGGACTTTGTCTAATAGAGGATGCTGCGCAGCAGAGGGGGCACGTGTAGAAGGAGACGCCCGTGTAGAAGCAAGGATCCGGGAGATCATTGAGGAATCTTGTTGATCCTGAAGGTTATTTCAGGATCCCCGAGGAATCCAGAGAAATCCTGCGGAGTCCCGAGACATCCTGATGAATTCTGAGGTTGCCTTGGGAGTCCTGAGACATCCTGGGGGATTCTGGAGAATCTCCATGAATCCTGAAGGATTATACATAATGTTCTATTTGTGAAACCTGAAGGAACCCGGAGGAATCTTGAAGCATCCAGAAGTGTTCCGAGGATCCCAGAGGATTCCTCAGGATTCCAAGAGAATCCCACAGCTGCTGAGAGTCTGCGTTGTCTTTCTATGGAGGCCGCATTACGTGTTTTCTCTGTTTTCTCATGTCAGCTTTTGCTCGGTTTGTTTTTCCTTAGTTTGTGTTGCTCCTCGGTCAATGTTTGTCATCGTTTGTTTGTTCCCTGGCTATGTTTTTTCCTCGGCTTGGTTTTCACCTCGATTAGGGGGTGGCCTCTTCTCCTCCTCGTCCTCGTCCTCCTTTCCTCCTTCTCCTCCTCGTCCTCATCCTCCTCGTCCTCCTCGTCCTCCTCCTCCTCGGCCTCCTCCTCCTCCTCCTGCGGAAGCAGGCGCTACTGCGCAGCGGCGGCTGCCCTGCGGAGCTGCGCGCGGAGGCCCTCCCCTCCCCTCCCGCGCTGCCATTGTCCCCTCGGCCATTGGGCCCCTGCGCCAATGCGCTCGGCGCCCTGGGGAGGGCCCACGTCGATTCGCTTCGGTACCCACATTTCTCGAAAAAGAGCAAACGGCATAAACATGAACTCTTGGCGCCCCGCGCGGATTTTCTGGGCGCGCTCCGCGCGCCAGGGAGGGGCGGGCCGCGCAGATCCTACAACCGTCGAAAGTTCATGTTTATGCCGTGTTTTCCTAAACTTTCGGGTGTTGCTAGAAGTGCCCTTGGCCCAAGGTGCCCCCAGGATGTCCAAGGAGACCCCCTGGCCCAGAATGGAGCGGGAAGCTGGGGGCACCTTGGGCCAGGGGCACCTTGAGCAACACCCGAATGTTTCGCCCGGCTCGATCCCGTCCGATCTCGGCTTGTGGGCGGTCCAGTGCGCCCCAGTGCCTGCACGGCTCAGTTTCGCACCCCAGAACGGCCGATTCGGCTTGTTGCCAGTTCCGCGCCGATGCAGCCTGGTCCGATGCACGGTTCGATCCGAAAGATTTAGCGATTCGGTGCTGATAGCTCACATAGCTCCTGTCCAGCAAAGGGGGGGAGAAGGTCGGGGCTCACGTGACGGGGGTCAGCTCTATGGCCGGCCTGGGCTTGGGAGCCCCGCGGGGCCGACACCCCCTCTGCCTTGAGATCCCTTAAGGGTGCGCAGAGGTCGAGTAGGAGGTCGACTACAGAGCTCGTCGGATCTACGAACGGATGCGTAGAATGTTCGCAGATCTGCGAACATGCTGCGCACGTGTCGTAGATTCGACGAACATCTCGATTTTGGATCTCGTCAGCTCTGTAATTCGTCGATCTCATCCTCGAAGAGGGGGGGTTATCCCAGCGTGGGGCCAGGGAGCGAGCCCAGGCTGAGGCTGACATCTCCCTCCTCCAGGGCCCCCCCCCCCCGGACTCTGCGGCCGGCCCCGGGCTCGCGGCGTGGCTGGCCAGCGCGTCGCCGAGGAGGGGGGGGAGCATCCGTGCTATGACATTCAGGGGATATCCCCCCAAAAGTTAGGGAATATCCCCTAACTTTAGGGGATATCCTCTAAAACCAAGCTGCGGATGGCATTGAAATCATGAACTAGTGCTACTGCATTGCCATCGGTCGTGGGGTGTTGCCTCCGTTGCCCCCCAGCGAGGGCTGGGGGGCAACGGAGAGTGGGACGACCCCCGCTCGGGCATTCGGACGCGGGCCGTTCGCAGCAGCAGTGGAAATTTAACAACATCGATTAGATGCATCGTGATCGTCATCGTCACGTCGTTGCCCTTCTTCAAGCAGTGGCGAGGCGTTCTGGCGTTCCTGTAGGCCCACTGCGCGGTTTGCACGACATGCTCTTACA